ATCGCGGACAAAGGCTCGACATCCCCAGACTCGGAACACCGACGCATCGCCAACCTCCCCCATCCAACGCAGGGTAGGCGAGGTCTCCGGAACAGAGACACGGGGCCAGAGGTTGAGCTGATGCGCGGCGTACTGCACTGCAAACGGCCACAGGAAATGGGGGGCAGCCGCATGGATCATGGAGGTACGAGCGACCTCCATGACAAGACCAATGCGGCGCTCAGCAATCCCATTCTGCTGTGGAGAGGCCGGGAGCGTGAACGACTGGGTGATGCCGTGCTCCGCACAGTAGGCTGCCAAGAGGTCAGAGGAAAACTCGCCACCTCTGTCAGAGTGCAGACGCAGGACTGGAAAGTCCGACTGGAACCGCTGGCGGAGCTGGAGACGAGCAGCGCGGATCCAGGGGATCAAGACATCAGGGACCTCACCCTTGGTACGCAAGGGGAAGACCGTGGTGTAGCGCGTGTAGTCGTCGACGACCAGCAGAAAGTACCGCTCGTGGCCCTGTCCCCGGACGCGGGCGGGGCCCCACACGTCCAGGTGGAGAGTCTGCAGGGGAGCCTCTGTGGGAGGGAACGAGGAGGAGTGAGGAGCGGCGCGCTGCCGCCCCTTGACACAGGGAAGACAAGGAGGAGCAGGCGAGGGTGGGAGGGGAGGGAGAACCCTGGGAAGACCAGAGACAAGGTACCTGGAGTGCATGCCGCGAAGGCGTTGCACTGACGGGTGACCAAGGCGGTGGTGCCAGAGGACAGTCATGTGTGACAGGGAGCGACACGAGCAGGGGGCCGACAGCTGACCTGACGCAGACGCAGACGCAGACGCAGCTACCTGAGGGGACTCAGTGGTCAGTGTGTACAAGTCCGACCCCGGCTGCCGAGTGAAGGTAGCGAGGTGACGACCCGTCCGCGCACACGTGCAGTGCGTCACACGCTCGTAGGCCGGGGTGAACTGGTGAACACCCGCGTCCTGGAGCGCGGAACCCGCCACCAAGTTCGTAGAGAACGAGGGGAGGTAGAGGCCCGACAGCGTGCCAGACGGGACAGCAGGACAAGGGAGGGCAGTGGTGGAGGTCGCAAGGACCGGACCCCCTGAGGGGTCAGCCAGGGAGACAGCAACCGGTCGAGGAAGCTGCTCCAGGGCAGTGCGGTCGCGGAAGAAACAGCGGGAAGCACCGGAGTCCAGTGTGAAGGTGTGCAGTGCCTCAGTAGGTGCGTTACCAGCAGACGTAGACGCACTAGCACCTAGGGCAGCAGCCTCACCAGGACCTAGAGCAGCAGACGCACTAGCACCTAGAGCTGCAGCCCCACTGGTCCCAATGCCCGGGTCGGGCGGTACACTCAGGTAACAGTCACCCTCAGCACTAATAGTCAATGCATACATAGCAGCAAGGATAGCATCATAATCAAGAGCAAAGATATCAATCCCCTTCCTAAGCAGATCAGCCCAGCGGGGCAGCTCAGAGGCGTCAGGGAACTGCTCGCGCCAGGCGTCGTCAAGGCGAAAGAAGCAGCGCTGCGCCGTGTGAAACTTCCCACCAGTCTGGCCAGTGCGGTCACCTGTGCGGATGACATACGGGCAGGTACCCCCTCCCCCAGACCCCCCACACTGAGAGTACCACTCACGGAGTTGCTGGGGCGAGGGAGTCTCGCCGGGGCGCTGCTGCTGCTGCCTCTGGCCACCGCCAAACCCCCCACGCTGCACCGCTCCACCGCGCCCGCCACCCGCTCCACCGCCGCCACCACTGCCACCACCACCTCCACCACCCCCTCCACCGCCGCCGCCGCCACCACCCCCTGTGCCGCCACTGACCCCCCCACCACCCGCGCCACTCCCACTCCCGCCACCACCCCCGCCCCCCCCTCCTCCTCCACCGCCGCTGCCCCCACCTCCACCTCCACCACCCCTGCCCCCCTTGCCCCTGCCGCCCTTGCGTCTCCCACTAGGAGCAGACGCGGCCCCGACCCCCTCAGCTCCGAGGTAGTCGACAGCAGCAGCAGATGCAATGGAGGGGAGGAGGGGGGAGGGGGAGCACCCCTCAAAGAAGGGGGTGCGGGGGTCACCACGAGAGGCACCTACAGCTACAATGCTCTTCTCAGCTGCTAGGAGCTCCTTCTCGAGGAGGTCGACAGTGAGATCAGTGGGGGAGAGGGCGAGAAACTGGTCCCTGACAGTGCGAAGGGAGTCAGGGAGGCGGGTGACAAGGTGGTACAGTGTGAGGTACATCGGGGGGGGGTTCTTGGCGAGGAAATCGGGGGGGAGCGCGGCACGGTAGCGGAGGTCACTGGTACGGAGGTGGGTGATGAGGTCAGCTACAGTGGCAAAGGCGGACAGGTCGGGGAAGAGGTAGGGCAGTGAGAGACGGCCTATAGCAGCAGTGGCAGGGGAGGAGTAGCGCGCGACTACTGCGTCGTACAGCTCCTTGGCGGTCTTCTGCTGTCCAAAGTGCTCGCGCTCATCTAACGGTAGGTGACTGCGAACGGCTAGGCGAGCGTGAGCATCACGGGTCTGCCACTGGGAGCGAGCAGTGCTGTCAGCAGTAGCGGGAGATGCGGGAGCAGCGCCGGACGTGTGGTCATAGAGGGAAACATCGTCCTTGGCAGTTGGAGTACAAGTAGCAAACCCTAGTTTTGTGTACCCCCTAAAGGCTAACCCACTATAGCCTACACAACAACAACACATACAGTGTTTGACAAGTACGCCCATAACCCCCCAGGCCAACGTGCCTGTAACCCTTCCCTAGGATCAATCGGGGATCACCAGTGGACCTCTGACACCCCCCCGCACTGGGATGCCCGAAGTGCATACACCGGGATTCGAACCCGAGACCTTTGCTCTGATACCATGTCAGAATCCCAGCCACTAACCACTGGGATAAAAGGGCTTGTTTATGTAGCGGGTCAGTGCGCCCATAACCCCCAGGCCAACGTGCCTGTAACCCTTCCCTAGGATCAATCGGGGATCACCAGTGGACCTCTGACACTTAGCTACTACACGCAAGGTTGCACTAAATTCAGTGAAGGCTGAAATGCAGAAGAGACACACTTGCACTAACATTCGTGAGTTGCGCTGCTATCGTGGCTTGCAAATCACAAAGGACAGAGCAGCATGCACCATCAATCAGAATCAGCCACACATGGTGCAGCAAGTCCTTCAGCAGTTCGTCTTTAAGGTCTCCTCCACACAGCCCACTTCTATTGCCCAGTTGACCATAAACTCAATGATCCTATTCCAGACGAGCTGGCTGAGCCTACTGGTCAGTACGCAGAGCTTGTGAGGTGCCTCATGTACTCGATGACATGCACTCGGCCAGATCGTCTATCCTCTCAGCATCCTTGCTCACTTTGTTGCGACCGTGAAACACCGTCTTGTTCTCTGGACGACCGTAGCGAAGTAGCTAGCGAGCACAAAAGGCATGGGGCTTGCATTTGGAGCGGGACCGGTGCGACTTACCGGGCACACTAACGCGTCGTGGGCTGACGACGATGAAACTTGCAGGTCTTTTTTAGAGCTACTGTTTTAGCCAGGGCTCAAGAGCTGATCCATGGATATCTACTCGTTCGTCGTATGTGGCTTCGTCCACTGCTGAGGCCTAGATCTACGTCGGTGCCATGGCCTAGCTTCGACTTAGTTGAGCGGCCTATCTCTGTCCGACCTTGTTCGCTGTCAACTGGCCATGATCCTCTTGTGTCGGGAGACGTGACTGGAGGGAGAGAGAGGCATAACGAGCTGTGATACTTTCTTCCGCGTAAGTTGCACCGACGCGGCCATGCCGGGTTGGATATTTTGGCCTCAAAGGCCTACACTACCAATATCTTCACAAAAACACTTCAGCCACGTGACCATCATCGGCTCAGAACTCAGTTAGGCCTTGTTCCAGCAGGCCATCACCTGTTTAGTTGCTGATTATTGTACTCGCTTGTTTTTTATTGTGATTGTAATCTTGGACTCGCCTTGTCAGGTTTCGAAGTTTTGTGGCTCGCATGTTTTCCTTCTGCCAAATATCCCTCTGTGGAATGTACAATATCACCATTCCAATGCAGGTCCTCACATGGTAACGATACTGTAAGGTGCAATGTTATTCGTGTTAGAATAGATAAATATTAAAAAAAAAAAAAAAAAACCCCAAACTCGATCGTTGTCAGGTTAAATGGAGGTGGATTCATTATCTTGGTTTTTTAACAATAGTCGATACCGTTGTTGTGACTGACGTGCTTGTATGCCCCGCATCGTCTTCGTCAATGTCTCGTTTTATGTATGTCGCCTACTGATTCGCATGCGGAACTCGTCCGAGGCATGCGACTCATCATCGTTACACTTCCGTTGTCGTTCACCTGTAGCATCTACTTGTCCAGCTGCGTCGCCACTCCATTTATCAAAGTCAAAGGAATTCTTTTGAATTGAATGTATAAAACTTGCACTCGGAAGACCTCTTGTAGCGAGGATAGATTCGTGGTTGGGGCAAGGCGATACCAGGGAGAAGAGCCAGTGTGCACGACGCAGCGCCATCGCCGCGCAATAAGTGAGCCCACGAGTTGAAGCTGTACTAGCAATGAATGTCATGGTTAGACGTTACGTTACGATAGACGAGCGGCAGTTTCGGTGGCAGACATGGTTGGTGCGCGTGATCCTGCGGCAGCGACGTCGCGCAGTGACGATAGAGAGGAGCGAGAGTGTGGGAGGGATGGCGAGCGCGCAGTGGTCCAGCGGCGTAGCAAGGCGCTCGAATACGGTCGCTTCATGGATGGCTGTCACGATGGCTGTCGCGCGAGTTCGTTCAGTCACGGTCGCAGCGACGTCGCGCGGTGCGCGTCGCTGCTGCTCGCCTGGCGTGCCGCGTGGCCCCACCTCCGTTCCGCCAGCCGCGCGTGCAGCCGCGTGGGCGCCACTGAAGCGGCAGCTGCGCGCTTGACGAGGCGGGCGGGATGCGCGTGTTCACGCGGCAGCGCCATTGGCGGGCCCCACGAGTGGTGGAGGGATGCGCGGGACGGAGGTACGGAGTGATGCGAGGCGGCCGGCCCATCCCCGCGCGCAACACACCCATCTCCGATCACCGCCCCGCTCCTACCAACCTCCCCTGCCTGCTTCGCCACCGCGCGTATCGTTGCGCGCGCTGCCCGTCTGCCCGCCATCACTCGCTCGCACGGGCCGCCATCGTTCTGCGCAACTCCCCCCTCGCGCCAACACCGCCCGTCCAACGCGGGTCGCACAATATGTTAGTATCATCCTCATCCCCCCCATTTCTTTCCGCCCATCCCTTCCGCTCAGTTTTTTCCGCCCATCCCTTCCGCCGATTTCTTTCCGCCCATCCCTTCCGCCCATTTCTTTCCGCCCATTTCTTTCCGCACATTTCTTTCCGCCCATCCCTTCCGCCCATTTCTTTCCGCCCATCCCTTCCGCCCATTTCGTTCCCCCCATTCCCTTTCTCCCCCTTCCTTCCCCCTACTGTCCCCCCTCCTACCCCCCTCTTTTCCCCCTCCTTTCCCAAGCCTCTCCCCCTCCTTTCCCCCTCCTCTCCCCCTCCTCTCCCCCTCATTTCCCCCTCATTTCCCCCTCCTTACCCCTTCCGCCCTCCTGCGTTTGTGCCGCATCTGCCTCTTTCCCCCACCTTTCCCCCCACCTTCTTCCCTGTTTCCCCTCCTTTCCCCGTCATCATCCTTTTGCCCTCCTTTTTCCTCCTGCGTGCGCCCCCCCCCCCATGCCGCGCTGCAGGCGGCACTCTGGCAGGCGTGCCACTGCCTGGGCGCCCCCCAGTGCGGCGGGGCGCCATGCAGGGGAGGCCACGGCATCACCGCTCATGCACGCACCCCTCCTTCCGCCCTCCCTGCCCCTCCTCCGCCCTCCTTTCCCCCTCTCTCTCCCCCAATTCCTCTCCTTTCTCCCTCCTGCCCAAAGCTTCCTGCCCCCCTCTTTCCCCCCCCTTTTTCCCTCCGTTCCGCCTGCTTCCCCTCTCCCGTCCCCCTCTTTTTTTCCTCCTTTCCCCCTCCGTCCCCATCCTTCCCCCTCCTTCCCTCTCCTTTCCTCCGATTCCTCTCCATCACTCCTCCTTTACCTTCCCTTCACTCTCCTTCTTCACCCCCGTTTTCCCCTCCTCCCCCCCTTTTGTTCCGCCCCCTTTCCCCATGCTGCCCCCAGCCTGCCGCCCGCCTGCCCTGCTGTGTGCTCTCAAGGCGCCAGTGCTGCGGAGGAGGGCAGGGGAGGGCACCGCCTCCTATTCCTCTGCCCTTCTCCTCCTTTCCCCTCCTTTCTCCACTCCCTTCTTCCTCCTTTCCCCGCCTTTCTTCGCTGCCTTCCCCCTGCTGCCGCGCTGCAGGCGGCAGGGGTGCAGGCGGCGTGCAGGGAGGGCGGGAGCGGGGAGGCAGGCAGGCGTGGTGTCTACGGGGCCCACCACTCGCCCTGCCACCACACGTGCTGCTCCTCAGCCCCTCCTTCCTACCGCTTGCCCACTCCCCCCCCTCCCTCCTCGCCATGCCCCATCTCCATGCCGCGCCATCCACTCCCCACATCACCCTGCATGCCCCCACCCCCCCTCGCCCTCTCCCCACCGCGCCGCTCGCACTCCCACGCGCACCACTCGCCCCTCCACGGCGTGTCCCCTCTCAGCAGTCAACGCCGTGAGCTGGGCCGCGGTGCCCCGTCACTTGCTGCTGCACCTGAGCACCGCCTGCACGCTCACATCCCCCTCACCAGTCGCTACACGAGCCATCGTGCCAGCACCTCATGGGAAAACCTCAACTGCCATGCCTGCATGCACCTCATGCCGTGTGCCTCTAATGCATCGCCAAGCACCCTTCCTCTTCCCTTGTCATGCCAATTGCTACAAGCCATGCGCAACAAAACTTCGATTCATATTGTATATTAGATAGCTAGGCATGTACACTGGATTTGTCACCTACAGCAGCAGCGTTGCATGTGATCTTGCCTAGTTTCATGGCAGCACCTATTTGTGTCCTACTGTATTCCTATACCTTAATCTTCCCACAGCAGCATGACCGGCAGGAGCCATTGTTGAGTTGTGGCATTGAGAGCACAGCAGCAGCACGGCAGAGCAGAGTGGTCCTCGAAGCACAGCAGCAGCACACAAGAGTCTTTTTTCAGCACAGCACCACACCACAGCTTTGCCTCACCCCCTCCAACCGTCAACTGCCCACCCACACTCCCACAAACACCCTGCTGTGAAGCAGGGCGCAAAAAAAGGTATTGCCATCGTAGTGTTCCACCCCATCCACACCACACCCACCCCACCTCCACAACTCCCTCCCCACTCGCTGCTCTCTGCGCGTTGCTGTGCCTCCCTGCGCGTACCTGCCTTCCATCCCATTCCCATACTGTGGAACCGTACTCTTAACCAATCACTTGTTTGTTTCCTTGATTTTTTTTTTCGTTTTTTCCTTTCCCTTTTTTTTTCCTTTTATTTTCCATGCAAGCAGCAGTCAAGGCCGCCATGGGCGCCGTGGGAGGGCAGCCAGCGCGGCCTTGGACGTTCTGCGAGGCGGCTTGACTGCAGCTTCAGCGTGCACTGCCCTCACCTCCCTCTGTGGAACAACACATTTCGGCCGCGGAATCAGACTCGCTCCCTCCACGTGCCGCCTAGGCGCTCCATTGTTGCTTGGTTTGGGGATGCGCGACGGTGGTGCTACTGATCTCGTTTCCGCAGCCTTGGTGCGACCACCTGACGGGCTCGACACGCACGCGACCAACGCACGTGATTCCGACGCTGCTGACTCCGACGCTGCTGATTCTGTCGCAGCAGATTGAGTCGCAGCAGATTGAGTCGAAGCACATTTAGTCGCAACAGATTCCGTCGCAGCAGATTCCGTCGCAGCAGATCCCGTCGCAGCGGATTCCGTCGCAGCAGATTCTGTCGCTGCGCATTCCGACCCTGAAGGTTCCGACGCTGCGGATTCCAACACAGCAGGTTCCGACGCTGTGTCGTGGCGAGCGCACGCGTGGTTGCATTCCGCGGCGGCGTGAGCGCGATGGTCATCGTTGGTGCTGTCGCAGCAGGTGGTCGCGTCAGAGGCGCTGCAGCGGGTCGTCACGGCGGAAGAACGGCAGGCGTCGCTCGTTCCGCTGCTCGACGACTCGCTCACCGGCTGTACGCGCTGTGATGCCCTTGAACTCTCCCTGTCGAGACTCTTCCAGAAGCTCAGCGCTGCCGAATAGGCGGGATTCTTCGAGCCGGACACTGAGGCCATTCTGAGGCTGACTGAAAACGGGAACGGAAGGCTGAGAGCTACCGATGTTGGTAACAAGTGGAGCTTGAGGCTGGTGTGATGAGAGAAATTGGAGTGCGAGCTGCTGATTTGTACTCCTAGTGGGCAGGCAGGTGTGAAGGTCATGAGTGGAGAGTCGAGGGGAGGCAGAGAGGGAAGCCTTGGGGTCGTCGGGGAGGGAGTCGAGCAGACAGGAGGGCACACGCTGCGCGCGCTGCTGCGGCAAGGTGTGCCGAAAAATGTGGGTTCGAATCTTACTTACCTCGGTTTATTTCGGTAAATCGGCTTCGCGCGCGTTTCTGCTGGTTTCCGAACTTCTCGCCAGAGCAGGTTCGGCCTGACTAATCGGACCCAAACCACTCTCGAGACACCCCCATAACCTTCGCCATACTCCCGAGGCAGTTCCTGCCCTCAATTTTCGCCTAGCTGGTTCGATATGCCATTCCTCGAAAGTCAGTTTGTATACTTCCAAAACTTGATCAAAATCAGTTTTCTATAATACATGATTTTGTCAATGGCTGGAAAATCATGGAAGGACAGGACAGTCTAGAAGCCTTTGAAACAGCTGAAAACGAATGACCTTATTGATACATTATCCATGACAGATTGTCATGGTGGTATTACTCATGACAGAGTTTAGGGTCTGAACTCACATTAGAGTCTAGTCCTTAGATAAGTATAGTGTAGCAGGAGTCTCTGTCAATTCCGGTACTGGTAGAATAATAAACGAGAATCGGTGAAAATCAAAATACAGTACAAGTCCTATATACTCTTGTTAAGCAACAAGACTAGCGGCGTAGTCGAGACGACATGCGGCAACAAAGTCAACAAGCTCAGCAACTAGGGCAGATGCAGCATGGGTCTCAAACGAAGGGCCAGCGACAACAGTGGCTAGAAAACGTGTGACAGTAGGGCTGGCAGCACGAACTTAGTCAGACTCAGGGTCCGAACTGTCAGCAAGAGAGGACGTAGGAGGAGACGGCAGAGGGACACGCTGTGGAATAGAGGAAGGATGAAGTGCCATAGTGTGCGTGCCGGGGACCGGAGGAGGACGCGGACGAGGAACACGGCGTCCAGTGCGAATAGCGCGAACAGGTGAGGCAGGATGAGACTTAGGCTCACGACGCTCTGTAAGAGAGTCAGCCTGCTCAATGTAAGGAGAAGGAGGAGGCAGTGGGAAGTCTGGCGGTAACTGCGGCTGTGACTGGTCAGGTGGTGGAAACAGTAAGGGAGGAGTAAGGCCAGTAGAAGACGGGAGACTAAGAAGTACCGAGTCAGGTGGCGGCAAAGACGACGGCGGCGGAGGTCGCCGCTGCATAGTGCCTCCTGCACAAGTACCGCCAGCTCCAGCACCCCCAGCGCCAGCACCTCCATCTCCAGGGTCTCCAGCTCGAGTGCCTCCAACTCTTATGCCTCCAGCTCCAGTACCTCCAGGGCCAGCACCTCCAGCTCCAGTGCCTCCAGCACCAGTGCCTCCGGCTCCAGGGCCTCCAGCTCCAGTGCTTCCAACTCCAGTGCCTCCAGCTCCAGCACCTCCAGCGTCAGCACCTCCAGCGGTAGTGCCTCCAGCTCCAGTGCATCCAGCTCCAGCACCTCCAGCTCCAGAGCCTCCAGCTCCAGCGCCTCCAGCTCCTGCTCCTCCAGCTCCAGGGTCTCCAGCTCCAGTGCCTGCAGCACCACCAACACCTCTAGCTCCAGCAGCACCACCAGCCCTGGCAGCTCCACCTCCAGTACGAGCACCTCCAGGACCAGCAACTCCAGCACCCTCAGGACCTCAAGCGCCAGCACCTCCAGCGCCTCCAGCTCCTGCACCTCTAGCAGCAGCGCCTCCAGCGGCAGGGTCTCCAGCTCCAGCAATGCGACTCCGAAGGCGGGAGCGCCAAGCAAACCACTCGCGCAGCTGCTCTGGCGAAAGAGGCTTTCGACGGTGAGACTGCCGTGACGAGGCACCCAGAGGACCTCTAGCAGACGTAGTACTCCTAGGCTCAGCACCCCCAGACCCGGTTCCCCCCCGGCTCAGCACCCCCAGGCTCCGCACCCTCAAGCTCAGCACCCCCATGCTCCGCACCCTCAAACTCAGCACCCCCAGGCTCCGCACCCCCAGGCTCTGCATGCACACGCTCAGCACCTCTAGACGCAGTACCCCAAGCAGCACCACACCCAGCAGTATCAGAGTCCCTAGTGACCTCGACAGTCTCAGCCAAGGGGAGTGGATCTACCTGAGACACACCTGAAGGAGCAGGGCCCTGAGGGGGGAGGGGGTCTACCGGAGAGGGACCTGGAGCGAGGAAGAGCGGTGGGGGGGGGGGAGAGGTGCAGTGCGGTAGGGGAAGAGACAGTAAAAGGGAACCGCGTCCTGGGAGGGAAGGACACGCGCGAGGTGGGGTGGTAAAACTGCCAGCCAGGCGCGTCAGGGGGAAAGCCAAGGAAGACGCAGGGAATGGCGCGGGAGGAGAGCTTGTCCGCGAATGTATCGCGGACAAAGGCACGAGAGCCCTAGACCCGGAACACCGATGCATCGCCAACCTTTCCCGTCCAATGCAGTGTAGGTGAGGTCTCCGACAAGGAGACACGGGGCCAGATGTTGAGCTGATGCGCAACGTACCGGACCGCAAACGGCCACAGAAAATGGGGAGCAGGCGCATGGATCATGGAGGTACGAGTCACTTCCATGACTAAGCCAATGCGGCGCTCAACAACCCCATTTTGCTGCAAGGAGGATGAAACGTGAACGACTGGAGGATGCCCTTCCCACGACAAAAGTCCCGCAAGAGGTCGGAGGAGAACTCACCACCTCTGTCAGAGTGCAGACGTAGGACAGGAAGGTTCTCGCAAAACCACTCGCGGAGCTGGAGACGGATTGCGCGGATATAAGGGATCAAGACATCAGGGACCTCACCCTTGCTGCGCAAGGGGACGACCGTGGTGTAACGCGTGTAGTCGTCAGCAACCAGCAGAAAGTAACGCTCGCGGCCCTGTCCACCAACGCGGGCTGGGCCCCACGTCCATGTGGAGAGTCTGCAGGGGACCAGTCATCGGGGGAAACGAGGAGGAGTGAGGAGAGGCGCTGTGCCGCCCCTGGACGCAAGGAAGGCAGGACGGGGCAGGCGAGGGCGGGAGGGGAGGCTGAGACCTGGGAAGACGAGAAAAAAAGGAGGCAGGAGTGCATGCCACAGAGGCGTGGCATGGAGAGGTGACCAAGGCGGTGGTGCCAAAGGAGAGTCTGGTGCGACAGGAGGCGACACGAACAGGGGGCGACTACCTGGCCTGATGCGGACACCTGACCAGAAGTAGCTTGAGCCGGCCCAGAAGTTATTGTGTACAGACTCGACCCAGGCTGACGGGTGAACGTGGCCAGGTGACGGCCCGTCCGTATACACATGCAAATCGTCGCATGCTGACCCCCAGTAGTGGTGGTAGTGACCATCGCATCCTGGAGGGCAGCGGTACTCACCAAGTTCGTAGAGAACGAGGGGAGGTGAAGACCTGACAGTGAACCAGACGGAACCGCCGGACATGGGAGAACAGTGGTGGAACGTGCAAGAACTGGGCCCCCTGAGGGGTCAGCCAGTCTGACTGCAACAGGTGCAAGGAGTGGTCTGAGTGTGGTACTGTCGCGAAAGAAACAGCGGGAAGCACGTGAGTCAAGCATGAAGGTGTGTAAGGCCTCAGCAGGCGCAGTACAAGGGAGAGAAAACTCACTAGCACCTAGAGCAGCAACCTCTATACCTGGGTCGGGCGGCACACACAGGTAACAGTCACCCACTGCCGCCATCACCGCCACCACCACTCCCACCCCTGCCACCACCGCCGCCACCGACGCCCCCACTCCCGCCACCACTCCCACCGCCACCTCCGCCACCTCCACCGCCTCCACTGCCTCCACCATCACTACCCCCGCTGCCACCTCCACCACTCTTGCCTCCCTTGCCCTTGCCGCTGCGGCGCTTCCCACTAGGAGCAAAAGCAGCCCCGGCGTCCGACCAAGGATGTCAACAGCAGCAGCAGACGCGTAGGAGGTGGCAAAGGGGGAGGGGGAACACCCCTCAAAGAGGGGTGTGCGAGGAGGACTATGCTAACCTCAGCTGCAAGGAGGTGCTTCTTGAGTAGGTCGACAGTGAGGTCCGTGGGGTCCATGGCGAGAAAGAGGTCCCTGACTGCGCGAAGAGAGTCATGGAGGCGGGTGACTATGAAGTAGAGAGTGATGTACATCGGGGGCGGGTTCTTGTCTAGGAACTCGGCTTTGAGGGCAGCGTTGTAGCGAGTGTCGCTAGTGCGAAGGTGGGTGATGAGGTCCTCGACTGTGGCAAAGACTGACAGCTCGGGAAAAAGGTAGGGCAATATAAGGCGGCCGAGAGCAGCAGTGTCAGGGGAGGAGTAACGAGCGACTACAGCGTCGTACAGAGCTTTAGCAGTCTTGTGCTGGCCAAAGTGAGCGCGTTCGGCTAACGGTAGGTGGTTGCGAATGGCCAAGCGAGTAGCAGCGTCACGGGTAAGCCACTGTGAGTGAGTCGCACTGTCCGCTGTGTCGAGAGGGGCGAGAGAGGCTCTAGACGTGTGGTCAAACAACAAAACACTGTCTCTAGAAACGCTCAGTAGGTACAGCTGTAAGTCATCGAGCCACGTATTGAACTAGATCGGACGGCCCTCAGGATCGAACGTGAGAACGCTGAGAGTAGCCATCGCGGGCAGAGCAGGGTGGCGCGTGACGAGCAGGGCGGCGCGCGTGCACTAGGAAAACGCACAGGGCAGGGCAAGGTGGCGCATGGCCAAGGAAGGGCGCCGCGTAGGGCAGGGAATGGCGGCGCGCGGCTAGCAGGGCGGCGCGCGGGCAGGCTGCAGAACGGCGCGCGGGCAGGGCAGGGCGGCGCGCGTGTAGGAAAGGGGCTGCGCGCGGCCAGCAGGGATGCGCGCGGGCTGCAAAGGGCGGCGCGCGGGCTGCTAAGGGCGGCGCACGGGCTGCAAAGGGCGGCGCGCGGCAGGAAAGGGCGGCGCGCGGGCTGTAAAGGGCGGCGCGTGGCAGGAAAAGGCGGCGCGCGGGCAGGGCAGGGCAGCGCGCGGCCAGCAGGGCGGCGCGACGGGTAGGGCAGGGCGGCGCGCAGCTAGCAAGGCGGCGCGGCGGGAAGGGTAGGGTAGTGCGTGGCCAACAGGGCGGCGCGACGGGCAGGGCAGGGCAGCGCAACTGGTGGGACAACGCGACGGGCAGGGTAGGGTGCTACGGGCAGGGAAACCCGCTACAGGCAGCGAGCTATACGGTGGGCCCTAAAAACAACCGGCCGTGGAACAGGACCTGCTCTGAAACCATGTCAGAAGAGTGAACCGGAAGAGTAGGAAGTTGGTACAAGTACTAACCCTAATTGGGTTGTACCCTTTATGGGCTACCCCTCTACAGCCTCCACAACATAAACAATATAACAGTTTGACATTTCAGTAGTATCCACAAAGTGAAAAGTGTCAAGAACGGAATGATGGCTTGACTAAGGTTGGTTTGGGTACATAGACCTAACCCTAACTTTTGTACCCCATATGACACACATCACTAAGACTATAACATCTAACACACCCCCATAGCCTAAGTGAGGGGTGTCAAGCATACCAACAACATACGGTCACAAGACCAGTCACAAAGCAACAAAGCTCAGGGTGGATCACAATGTCACCACACACTCTGAGCACAAGCAAAAGAGCCACAAGGCCAGTTCAAGAGGTCACAGAGGTATATATAAAGTGTACAAACAAAGAAAAGCAGAGAACTCACGACTACGCAAGGCGAGAACCTGTGTCGACGAGACCTTGGTGAAGATGTCTGCAGTGTTGGCCTCGGACTCCAGAATGTCGAAGCGAGCATGTCCAAGCCTCAGCAAATCTCGTAGAAAAATTACTCGACGTTGATGTGCTTCACTCTGCTCTCCAGTCGCGACTCTCGAGAAAGGAGAATCGACGCCTTGATGTCAGTGAACAAGGTCAGTGCAGAGCTCGGCCGCTCACCAAGGTCGGTGAGCAAGAAGGTCAACCAACACAGCGCCTGTGCAGCCATGGCTCCAGCGTAGATCTCAGGCTCAGTGGTTGAGACCGAGGAGGAATGCGTGGACCTCCACGAAATAGCTCCAGAGCCCAGGCTAAAGCAATACCCCTGAGTAGACATGTGAATCTCGGCGTCGTCAGCGTAAGAAGAGTCACAATATCCAGTAAGTACGACAGACTGTCTCCCTCCAAGAACCAGCCCCACGCCTGATGCCGTTGCTAGGTACTTCGCCACCCTCACAACAGCTGTCCAGTGAACTGGACGGTGTCTCCCTGACGCAACAAAGCGAGCAAGTATGCTGAGAGGGAAGGCGAGTTCTGGGCGAGTACAAGTCATCACGTACATGAGGCAGCCCACAAGCTCTGCGTAGGGACCACTAGGCTCAAACGGCTCGTCAGGAAAGGGTCCAGTGAGTCTGTGGTCAACAGCAAGAGGTGTGCGCTGTACTGTGGAGTGCTGAAGCTCGAACCGCTGAAGGACCTGCTGCACCATGTGTGACTATGAGAGTGTAATGGTGCGAGCGGCTCTGACCCCGGTGATCTGCAGGCCAAGGTAGTGGCGCAGCTCACCAAGGTAAGTGCACGTCTGTCTCTTCTGCAGTTCGCGCTTCACGTCAGCCAAAGCAACCTTGTCAGCAGTGGCGAAAACCAGGTCGTCGACGTAGTACAAAGAATGGTGTGGAGCCATGACGAACAAACAGCGACGGGTCAGCAGAAGACGGCTGCAAACCGAGGTCAGACAGTGTAGAACGAAGGGTGTCGTGCCACTCACGAGGAGTCTGACGGAGACCGTAGACCGGTCGCCTAAGCCTCCACTGGGTCCCAGGAGGGAAAGTGCCAGTGAACGCAAAGGGACGACAAACCAGACCTCCTCGTGTAGGCTACTCTGAAGGAAGGAAGTGGAGAAGCCGAGAGAGTGTAGCTCATAGTCTCTCTGTGCTGCTACGTGCACTAACACCCGAAGAGTGGTTGCGAAGGTCTGAAAGAAATCAACTCCCTCGCGCTGACTGAAAGTCCTAGCCACATAGCGCGCCTTGAAGACCGGAGGAGATCCCGGTGGCCGCTTCACCCTGAAGATCCACATGCCATCGACTATGTTCGCCCCAGAGGGGGCAACCTCGTTGACGTAGGTGCCTGTGGATCTGTAGGAGGCCATCTCTGCGTCCATGGCAGCTCTCCACTGAGAGGTCCAAGGCCCTGACACTGCCTCAGCGTAAGTGCAAGGAGTCGGTATGCCAAGGGCGTCGGGGACTCTCTCAGGAGCGAGCAGCATGGCACAGAGATGAGGGGAAGCGGCTACCAGAAACTCTAGCTCAGACTGCCTGTCCTCTAGGCGTCACAGTTAAGGGCAGACTCACCCCCGACGGCCAAAGGACTGGAAGGAAGAGCAGCACAAGGCTGGTGGTGTAGTCAGCTCTCCACTGAGAGGTCCAAGGCCCTGACACTGCCTCAGCGTAAGTGCAAGGAGTCGGTATGCCAAGGGCGTCGGGGACTCTCTCAGGAGCGAGCAGCATGGCACAGAGATGAGGGGAAGCGGCTACCAGAAACTCTAGCTCAGACTGCCTGTCCTCTAGGGCGTCACAGTTAAGGGCAGACTCACCCCCGACGGCCAAAGGACTGGAAGGAAGAGCAGCACAAGGCTGGTGGTGTAGTCAAGGGGCGACTAGAGGCAAACTCAGTGACTGCGACAGTAAGAGCGGAGACAGAGGACAGAGAGGCACGAGGGTCCGTAACAAGAGAGGCGAGAACACGAGAGACAACAGGTCGTTACGTGCGGTAGAAGTCAGTGACAAGAGTAGAGAGGGAAGCAGTGAAGGCCGACTCAGGAGGAGAAGGAAGCACAGACGGAGACAAACGAAGCGGACTAGAACGAACGCGGCAGCAGCGGCATCACCGTCCCACTCCGCTCTCCCGTGTGAATGCTACCCACACACCCCACGCGCCTGCCGTTTACACGCCTCAAATCAGTATCTCGCTGAACCGTGAAATCACAGCGAGTGCTCATGGCCTGAGAGTGCTGAGCGTGGGTGCTGGGAGTGGTGGGAGTGGTGGGAGTGGTGGGAGTGGTGGGAGTGCGGTGACTTGCCGCAACACATGAGGCAAGTGTAACACGAATCCGCCCCTACTGCTCTCCAATTCAAACTCCCTGCGCGCCCCACACTGCCACATGCAGTCCCCATGACCGCACAACAACCCCTCTTGCCCGTGTGGTGTGTGTGACAGCATGTGGCAGAGGCACGCATGTGGCGTGTGGCAGTGGCACACGTGTGGCGTGTGGCAGTGGCACGCGTGCCAGGAGGGGCGCGTGATTCGAGGACGACGGGGGAAACAACCACGTGCTGCCAGCCCACCCTGCTGTGGGGTGGGCCCACCCTGCTGTGGGGTGGGGCCACCCTGCTGTGGGGTGGGGCCACCCTGCTGTGGGGTGGGGCCACCCTGCTGTGGGGTGGGGCCGCCCGCCCTCCTCACCTCACCCACTCACCACCTCTCTCGTGTTCTTGCCACACACGCGCCGCACTTGCCTGCCTGCATGCCTCCGCTTGTCCCGCGCTCTCTGCGCTTTCGCCTGCACGCGCATGCTCGTGCTGTTGGGCATGTGAGAGCAGCGGAGGGAGTGCAAGCAGGGGTGCAGGGGTTGGCAGCAGGGGCGGGGAGGGAGGGCGAGTTGAGGCAGGTGGTGAGTGGCGGCGGGGGAATATTGACCCAAGGTTCTGTCCGCTGCGAGTGGCGTTCTCTGCTGAGGAGGGTGGATTGGGGGGAGTGCGCATGGGGCAGTGAGGGGGGAGGGTGGGGGCGTGGGGCGTGGCCCTGGGGTGGGGTGGGAGGGGCCATGGCTCATGTGGCTGGCAGGCTGCATCAAGGATGCGCGCCACATGCCGTGAGCGGATGAAACACCTGCATGCACATCCCCCCGCCATGCTCTCCACATCCGCGCCCCCCCTCCCCTCACCCCCCGTGCTCGTCTGGAACCTCCATTCTTTGCTTCTGCCTGCTTACCTCCTGCTCAACAATGCTCTCCCTTCCTCCCTTCCTCCCTCCCTCACTCCCTCCCTCATTATTCCCTCCCGCCCACCCTCCCACTCTCTCTTCACGGACCTGCAGCAGCAGGGAATGACAGCCAGGCGCCAGTCCCTCGCCCACGCCCACGCCCACGCCCACGCCCACAGCAGCCCCAGGAGCGGCACCGTTGGGGCTAGGCTAGGGCTAAGTGGGGGGGGTGACGTGTGTGGGAGTGGGAGTGGGAGGGGGAGTGGGGGCAGCAAGGGTTTCTGGACAGCAGCATACAAGCCTCTCCTCCGGCCCTTCTCCTCCCGTCCTCCCCGTGCTGCCCTCCCACCCACCCACCCTCCCACCCTCCCAATCTTGCTGCCACACCGTCATGCTTCTGCTGCACCCTGCCTCATATGCTGTTTGCACTGTGGGACTGACAAGGTTTGCACTGTTTTCTGATTGGCGTGCGGGGGGAGAGTGCAGGCGATGAAAAACAGCTCGCGTTTGTGCGTAGCTCTTGTCAACACAACACCCAGTGCCGCATGATACTTTTGTGCGACATTGCATACTCATGGTGACTGGAGGGATTGAAATGAGCCGCAGTTTAGAAACCAAATTCCTAGCTTTCAAAATATGTTAGCGCTTCTTTACAAACGGATCCGGTCCGCTGTGGACGCAGGCAGAGTGTACTTGGAAAAGGTGTAACATGTATGTTGGAAAAATCATTTTTGTATAAAATAATAAATGTACAAGGGAGGGGTTATTCATTTAAGCACCGGGGGTGAAGTTGGTGGCATAGGCCCACGCGTTGTTGACGGTGGGGTCAGCCAGGTGGTCGGACAGGTTCTCCAGGGGGCCCTTGCCGGTCACGATGGCCTGGACGAAGAAGCCGAACATCGACACCATGGCGAGGCGGCCGTTCTTCAGCTCCTTCACCTTCAGCTCAGCGAGCGCATCCGGATCGTCGGCCAGGCCCAGGGGGTCGAAGGCACCGCCGGGGTACAGGGGGTCCTCAACCTCTTGGAAGCCCTCGAGGCCACCCACGCGGTAGCTCTCGACGGCACCCATGAGGATGACCTGGGTGGCCCAGATGGCCAGGATGGACTGCGCGTGGATCAGGCTGGGGTTGCCCAGGTAGTCAAGGCCACCCTCGGAGAAGATCTGCGCGCCGGCCTTGAACCACACGGCCTCGCCGAAGTTCACGCCGTTGCCGGCCAGCAGCTCGGGGGTCAGGCAGCCGAGCGCACCGAGAAGAGCCCAGCGAGCGTGGATCACCTAAAGATTGATAAGGAGGCGAAAGAACGGTGAATTCAGTGAGAACCGCTGAATAGTTAGCGTTGTAAAAGAAACGATAAGAGGCCTTTTTTAATGTGCATGGTTCTATGAGCAATGAATGTTCATTCGTGAGGAATGCGTCTCATATGTGTTGCTAGAGATTCCGGTCGGCTTACCTCCAGCTCGCGGTTCTTGGCGAAGGTCTCGGGGTCAGCGGACAGGCCGGCGGTGTCCCAGCCGTAGTCGCCGGGGTACTCGCCGGTGAGGTACGACGGGGGGGAGCTGAAGGGGCCCAGGAACAGGTTGCGGTCGGGGCCGTAGAAGGCGCTGCTGGAAGCCGCCTTGGCGGTCTTCCTCATCGTCACGCGGGCCTCGACATTGTTCACCTTGGCAGCGAGCTCAGCGCTCTGGCCGACGAAGGTGGAGGGGAGCACGGCAGCGTTGGCGAGAGCGGCCATTGTGGATGTTTGAATCTCTCGAAGAAGCTGCGATGTGATATTCCTGGATGAAATGAAATCGAGTGCCGCTGCTCTGCTGTGACTGATGCCTGTTTTGAACTCGAGAACAATGAGCTCGGAGGGGGGGGAGAGGGAGCGTTGTTGCGATTGGACGCTGACGCATCACGCACGCACCGCTTGGTTTCCAGTCACCTGCGATGTTCCAAATCCCCGCAATCCAAGATCGACGAATCGGTGTCAACTAAAATTCTCAGGAATTGGGCGATGGGTTGTGCTATTGGTGCAGTGGTGATGTGTTTCGCGAAGATGTGTACGATGTCTCATCAATCAGTCAAGCACCACATAGCTGGGTGTGACGTGGTGTGGAAACTGAGGTCGCGGTCCTGGGGTGTCCAGAGTTGGGGTGTCCTGGACACCCCAGGACCGCGATCTGATTCGAACACAAATATCTCCAATCGTTGTGGGCAAGGTCGAATGCGGTCCAGCGAGGTGACCACGAAAGGGAGATGTTCGGATCTTATCTACACTGTTACCGTGTTATATCTCTGTAATGAATACGAATTCATTACTGTAGAGGCTGCTCCTAGCGAGGACAGCCCGAACTTCGCGTCAGTTGGGTTCGGCCTACACTTCGGCCCGAACCACTTTCCGAGTCGCCCCGCACCAATCGCGACACTTCCAACCCATCCACGTCCCGAGGTCCTCGCCTAGCACGGTTTCGACCCTATAAATGCATGCTTCTTTACCATTTTCGACATTCTGTATTCGACATCCTTTTTATAAAGTCTTCCGCGCACTCTTCTTAGTACAACTCATAACACTTGGTATCAGAGCCTAAGTTCCTAGGTTCCCCGTTTTTTAGAGTGTATTACCCCTCGGGGGGGGGACAGGGAAGGATGCCGTGGTGACAGGAGCAGCGCAGTAGCCGGCCAGGAGAACGGATAGTTGCTCCTAGCGGCCATGTTTTTACGGGCGCTCCTGCTGCACCGACGGATCCTTGCCCTCGACGGTCAAGATCGACCGTGGCCTCCCTCCCCCCGGGTGGCGGACAGCTTTTGCTGTCGTCGCATTTATTGCGTGAGTTAACAGTATTCGTTTCGGCATTTTCGGAGTTAATTTGTGTGGCAGCTGACGTCGACAGGATCTCCGTCAGTGCACGTCCGAAGATGTCGAAAGCAAGATCGTCGTGCGAGTTGCGTCGGCGTGTGGTCGACAACTGCGCGCGACAATTTCGGAACGGATTGCATGCAGCACGTGGCGTCGAGCGTCTTTGTCGCATTGCGCATCAGTCCGTTGGAGGTCTTCGGCAAGTGACGATCGTGGTCACTGTGCGCGAAGATTTCGGGTAGCAGCACGTGGAAAACGACTGCTGTGCGAGCAGTCAGGCGCATGGTGATTTGCGTCAGAAAATGCAACGGCGCGGAGTGACGGCGTGACAACTACCCGAAGAAAGCGGGGGTCTACCGTCGTCCAGCCCGGGTGTGGCCGGTGTGGCTACAGGAGGGTGCGTCGTTGGCGTTTTCGGCAGGAGCGGCACAGTGTGGGACGGAAGTTATTTTCAAACCGCCGAAAAGTTCGGAAAAGGCCGCCTACGACTAGACTGTCTACGTTAGGGTCACTTCTGCGCCTGCAACAAAGTCGGCCGAAATTTTCGGAGCAACAGCAGCAGCCGACACTGTACTTCAGGCGGCACAAGTTCCCCCTGATCAAGGGAAGTTGCGCCGCAGACAGGGCAGTACACCGACGGGACAACGGTTTATCGCAGCGTCTAGACCCGCGAATTTCGCCAGGTCTACCGGCTACAATAAACGGAGTTGCGACAAATACGGGTCTGGCGAGAGAAACGGAATCCGAGCTTCAGGAGGGGCGAAAACGACCTACTGCGACGACTTTTTGCTGAGTGCCGAATTTTGCGGCTAAGCGGCGGTAGCAGAAGGAGCTCCCTACCGGCCAAAGTCCACCGACGTTTTGCATACCCCACGCCCAGAAAAGCCTCGAAGGCGATGTGTAAGTCCTGTTGGCTACTGGATAAAAATGTGGGGCCCTGTGTTTAGCCCTGTGCTGGTTCGACGGCAGGGCGTACAAGAAACATTCGTGGTGTGGCACTGTTCGGCCCCGACAAAAACGGACCATCGGCAACAGTTCCCCTGCCGAAAAAGTCGGAGCTGAAGAAGTTGGTGCAGCTGTCGGAGTTTCTCCTAATTCAACGGTCTACCCGACGGCGGTGTAGCAGCGAAGCAGGGGTTTCCGAAGCTGTGGAATTTTAAATGCGATAGACGCGGTGGGCAACGAAGCGGCCGGTCCGACTGTTTGATCCGATAAACATGACCCGGCTACGATAGCGTTCGCGCCTTCACCGAATGTCAGAAAAATCGCGGGCAACACAGACTTATACCTCATCCGACAAAAGCGGACGCTGGGTGAACGGCGGCAAGCGAAATTGTCGGGGGGTGAAGACAAAAACAAAATGGAGGGAAATTTGTGGGTGCTCCAGCAGATCTCCAGAGTGAAAGGTTGAGCCCGTACACCAATCCACCGCGAATTTCGGAGTCTATTCGGTAGACCCCCGAAAGGGTTTGATATTGTTACATGGAGGCGCGGCGAGCGGTGTATCGCCAAGGATATCTGGGATTCGCTAAGTAATTTCGACGGGTACGAAGACGGGTGAACGTCGGAGTACCAGGGTCAACGGCGGAAACGTCGGGGTTATGCGGCGGAAAATACTTCGGGACTGCTTCAACAACCATGATTTTCGGGGTTCTTTCCTACGGTGGGAGACGGGTGAACGTCTGCTCGCCAGCTGTTTCAGCGATTTACGGTGTACTTCGAAGTTATCTGGGGAAATTCTACGGCGAGATCTGCGGCGTTGATGCGGGCTAGGTTCCGTGAAATTCGGTCCCGGTAGACCCATGACTCTGGGTTCCGCACGAAAAAGCACCTCCTGTTGGTGGGTTGCTATTGTGGTTAACCATGGAGAGAAAAATGGCGACGGGTGGGCACGCTAGATACACCGGTTCTTCAAGGGGATAACCTGCAGGTGACCAAGACGTACGAGTATTTTTCGGCACCGACATTTACGGAGAGTTCGAGTATCGGTTTTACAACAGTTCGGCGGTGACAGCCGACAATTTCGTGACACGGCGGAGTTGCAGCGGCGCTGGGTTAAGCGCGCGAACTTTGCCGTGGTGAGCTTCATGGAGGCAAAATCTGTGGAATTTCAGGGGTACCAGCCGCAACACAGGTGGACATTATCGCAACAGGTGGGGGGTGGAAGAACAGCTTTTTCGCCTCTGCCCCGACGTTCTCGGCGAGTCACGACAACGCCGACAATGCAGCTGACGTCATCGGCAGTTCCAGTTCGTGGTTGAAAATATATTTGCGAGGTCAGGGGGAGGAACAGCAGCTGTTTTTCGCCTCTGCCCGGGAGTTTTCGGAGAATCGCGACAAAGCCCTCGGCGAGTTCTGACAAAACCGCCGATGGTGGTGACGGAGATTTTCAAGCAGAGTTTCTCGGGTGGCAGATACTGACAGCTGGAGATGCTGCAGCAATCGAAGATTTTGATCCTGCCACAACAAAAAGACAGCAGTCGGGAGACACTGCAGCAGTCGAACGATTTGACGCTGCCACGCGGAGATTTTGGGATGGCAGCCGCTGCAGCAGTAGTCGCGACTACAAGACAAGAAGAAGGTTTTCTTCGCGATTTTTATTTCGAAGGGTTGCATCCGAGTCCAGATGCACAACGATATACCCTCTCAAAGGGACTTCGCGGTACACCCTGCAGAGTTCTACCAGTTCAAGACAATGATTTCGCCACCGACTGCATTTTCTACAGCGCAGCAGCCGAATTTTAGACGGGTGGTCATAACACTTGGTATTCTGTTCTACCCTCGGCGTCAGGGTAATTAGGGTTTCCATACCCGCGCAGCTGCTCTACCTTGGGGGTCTACCCTTTTCTTCCAGGGGGGGAGAGAGAGTATTTTTCGCACTGTCTTCCTCAACATTTCTGACACTGTTGTCAGACTCTGACAGCACGACGGACGCTTGCGATGACTTCATCGACATCGACGGCTTCAGATTCATCGAACTCTGACAGCGCGTCAGAATTCCCGCCATCTTCGCGATCATCTCTACCGTCCGCCTCACATCCGCCACATCTACGGTTTTCCATTCATCGGCGGATTTTCAACTCGACATTCGATTTCAACCGCCAGATCGACATCTGGGAAATCCAACGGCTGACATTCCAACTCTTTGAAATTCGCCTGGTCAACGCGCTCAGCCACGCGTCAACTCGAAAGTCAACACGCTTCCGCACCGTCAGATCAGTTTCGACCGAGATCTGCAGTTTTCACGCTACTGCAAGACTCGCCTACGTATAAGGGCACCTTATTTAGAAGGTGGGAGAGTGTAATGAATACGAATTCATTACTGTAGAGGCTGCTCCTAGCGAGGACAGCCCGAACTTCGCGTCAGTTGGGTTCGGCCTACACTTCGGCCCGAACCACTTTCCGAGTCGCCCCGCACCAATCGCGACACTTCCATTCCAACCCATCCACGTCCCGAGGTCATCGCCTAGCACGGTTTCGACCCTATAAATGCATGCTTCTTTACCATTTTCGACATTCTGTATTCGACATCCTTTTTATAAAGTCTTCCGCGCACTCTTCTTAGTACAACTCATAACAATCTCAGTATAACGATTCAAAACGTTTTCAACATACCGAACACTCATCACCCTGCTCCACTTCCTTCCCTCCTGCACTTGAATTCAGCTTTCAGCGGAGCAAGTAGGATTGCCACGTTCCCACGCCCCTAGATCATGGCAGAACTTGACGGCAATCGCTGCTGCTACGGCGGCGGACGCGCTGTTTTAGTTCAAAAAAACTCGAGTTTGCCATAGGCTATAATAAGGAACGATTGTACAGCTGCGCGTCGACTCGGTTGCAGCGATTGGGAGCGTGAGTCGCGGGGGCGAGCGCATGGCTGGGAGGCCGTTGGAGGCAGCAGAGCGGTGAGGGTTGGAGCGACGCGCGGAGTGGCGGACTGCCGGATGCACCGCGCCGCTGCTCGGCTCGGCGCGCTCTGCACGCCCTCTGCCGCCGACTGTGTTCCACTCACCGGCTGACACGTGGTGTGTGCGAGAGGTATGACAGGCGTCGAGACGCCGACGGGCGTGTCTCACGTGTCAACTGCTCTACTCGTCCCGTCGCCCCGCCGTCTCTTTCGCGGATGTCTAATTCTCACGCGTGCCGATCCGTCGCACTGCGCGCCTGCCGCCCACCTGCCATGGCGGCTCGCACTGCCCACCTCTCGCGTCCCTCTCGACAGTGTTTTTGTCAAACGCTCCCACACTCAGGCAGGCCGCTTAAATTCACAAGCAGTAACGCATACAGAGGTGATGAGGTGAGGAAATACCTTGTATGCCGCACGTACCCATATCGCACGCAAAGCCTCTGCTTGGGATGCGCCCTCATCGCCGCTCCCGCCGTTGTCGTTTCACTCGCCTCCGCCATCCATCGTGCACATCTCCTCGTCTCCCCCTTCCCTTCCCTTCCCTCGGATCCATTCCCACAGTCTGCCCGCACCCACCTCTGCCACCTCGGGCATTACCCGCTCACTCGGGCATTGCCGTTGCATACTCAACCCCCGGGTCCCCCTCTCCCCTCATCTCCCTTCACTCCCGTCTGTCCCCGCCCCGCCCTCTCCCGCGTCCCCCCATCGCCCTCCTCGCCAGCATGGCAGGCATGAGCTTCCGGGCATGAGCTGCCGGGCATCGTGCCACGTGGCGTCCTTGCCCATGGCGGCCCTCCGTGCCGTTCACGTGGACTCTCTGCGCGCCTCCACTGGGGCTGCACCGCCACCGCCACATGAGTGGGCGCCGTGCGTCTCGCTGCGTCACATACCAGCACGTGCAGGTGATTCTCGGTTGGCGCACGCATGCATGCGCACAACCACAGTCCCATGCCTCATTCCCATGCTCATCTCGCACTGCACACGTGTATGTGTGCACACCATGCTACCTCTTGTCCTCCCCTTGTCCCTCTCCCGCCCCACCGCCCATGTGCCACCCCACCGCCCATGTGCGGTGGGGCAGCAGAGGGCGGCAGAAGCCATCTGCCATCCCAGGGACCGCCTTCCCTCCGTGCCGCCCGCTCGCATCTGCTCGCACTGTTGCTTGCTGGGGAGGTGAGAGGTGCGTGGGATTAGTGGGTGGTGCGTGGGGATGGTGTAGGGAGGGGGTTGGTACGAGGCGGTGGGTGAAGTGGTGGGCATTATGGCATGAGGGGAGGGGAGTGATGAGCGTGAAGGGAGGGAAAAGCGATGGTGGGGAAGTGGGTGCCATTGTGCTTGGCTGGCAGAGGAGGTGGGCGTGAGACGGATGGGGAGGGAGGGACCCAGGGAGATGCGAGCGACGCGAATCCATCCTCTCCTTCATGTCCTGCCAACACACTCTGTCCTCTCTCCTCTCTCTTTGCTCCTGCCAACACACTCTCTCTTCTCTGTCTTCCCCCCTCCTTCCCGCACCCTGTTCCCTCTCACTGCCCCCCCCCCACCCACGAGGCAGCAGCCCCTACGGTACAGATTCGTCCTCCCTCTCACTTTCCGCCCCCATTGGAGCGCTCCAGACAGGATGCCGCCTGCTGCTGTGTGCAACTCCTGTGGACCCACATTATTGGTGGAGCAGAGGCAGTGAGGGCGTGAGTTGAATTGGAAGGCACAGGCAGAAACACAGTGGCACAAGCTAGAGGAGTGGGGAGCAGGAACGAGGGCAGGTTGAGTGCACAAGCCAACGCTGGTGCCCTTCCTGGCTGTGCAATTCGCTGCAGTACAGGACAATGCAGTCTGTGTGTGTGTGGTGCTGTGCAGGGCAGCACTGCTGGGCATTCTTGTGCTTTCCTTATCTCGCTGTGTAACTCTCCTGCAGTGGTTATCCTCTCCTGCCATTGCTAGCGACATCCAAATATTCTTTACTAATTAAGTACAAGATGAACAGCGCTACGACGGTAACAAGTAACAAGAATAAGTACAAGTGGACTTATTTGCCTTGCCTAGTGTTATCCCTAGTGATAGCGTTAGTGTTAACCCCTAAGGAACACCTGAACTGAAGCCATCACCTAGAAAGTAGTTTTACCTAAAGCTCTTCACCTAGACCAGCACATCCAAACAAAGCCTTCACCTAGACCAGCACATCCAAACAAAGCCTTCACCTAGAGAGCACAATTCCCTTGAAGCCATCCGTTAGGAGCACATCTGAGCACATCAGCACAGCAGCAATCCCTCGGCCCTGCCACCCTCCACCGCTTTCACCCTCCCACATTCCCACAAACACCCGGGCAAGCTGGGTGAAAAAAAGGGTACTGCTGCCACCAAGTTCCCCACCCACACACACCCCTCCGTGCAACCAACCTCCCAGCAACTCCCTCTCTCTCAGCTGCTGTGCTCCGTTGCCTCCATCCATCTCCTGCTCACTCTTCTCTCCGATCTCACCTTCCCCCACCATCCTCTTTTTGTTTTCAGATGCTTTTTTTTTCTTTTCCTCTTTTTTTTTTTCTTTTCCTCTTTCTCACCTTTTTTTCAGTCATTCATATGCAGTTTTTTCAATTGCAGCAGTCAAGGCCACCATGGATGCGAGTCCCTGGGCCAACTTCACTTACCACCTTCTGAGTGTCCATCCATCTCCTTTTCTTCTTGAGATATTCTTTTCTTCAGCCAGATTCTTCCTTTCCCCACTGCAACGACGCAAGGCCGCCATGGCTGCGCCTTCGAGCCGTTAAACACCCTTCTTTCCATGCCTTTTTTGTTTTGTTTTGTTTTGTTTTTTTTTCCCACTGCAGCGTGTCAAGGCCGCCATGGCCGCCTTGAGCTGGCTGACCGAACGACCCTCGCCGTTCTGCTCGGCCGCTTGTCTGCAGCTTCGACCTCCACTCCCCTCGCCTCCCTGCCTGCTAGCTGCGACGGTGCAGCGAATTTAGGCCTCGGGATGAGCGTCGCTCCTTCCATGCGCCTCACCACTGCTCTCTTACCACTTGGCTTCGGGATCCGCGACGGCAACAGCGCTAGTGCAGCATTCGCTGACCTTATAGCTGCCGCCGCCGTGCAACCAGCTGGCGATAGCATCGCCGAAACCGACACCGTTGGATCTGAGGCTGGAACATCCAACACTTGAGCATCCGACGGTTCCGCCTCCGACGCTGTAGCATCCGACAGTTCAGCATGCGATGTGGAAGCGGATAGCTTAGGAGCATCCGACGGTTCAGCATACGATGCTGTAGCATCCGATGCTCCAGCATCTGACGCTCCAGCATGATCCGACGGTTGAACCTCCGACGCTGAAGCATCAAGAGCTTCAGCATCCGACGTCACCGCTGGCATCTCTGGCAGCATTGGCGCTGCAGCGTTGGCTGGAACGCCATTTTTCGTGTTCAGACTCTTCCAGAAGCTAAGCGCGGCACGATACGAAGGGTAATCGGAGATTGAGGCCATCGAGGAAACCGAACAGCGGAGCCGAAGAGCTCGAAAGGCTGGCAAGATAATAATAGTGCTTGAAACGAGAGTGGTGATTGAAATGAGGTATGCAAGTGCAGACTTGTAGGCAGCGGTGGGAGTGTGTTGGCCTTGGCGGCAGCGTGAGAGAAGGAGAAAGGCAGTGCCCGCGAGAGGTCGGAGGGGAGTCTCGAAGTTGTCGGGTTTGGGAGGGAGGGAGCAGCGACTGGTTTGGTTTCTAGGCCGCGGAGATCCCTCGGGTTTCAAATGCGGTACATTGTGATAGCGTGTTTTATCATATTGTTTTTGTACGGTTGGGTAGGTTGGACAAGAGTAGGCTGGGTGGCTACTGCTCGCGCAAATATCGCGAGGCGCCCTTCGGAAGGTAGGGGGAGGGGTCTTTGGAACGTCAGGTTTGGGATGGGTGAGAAGTGAGGGCGTGTCCAGTTCGTTCATTTCGGGGTTTTTAGTGCCAACACACGTCTCGAGGTTCAAAAATTTTCACTGTACCTATAAACGAATGCATTGTGAGTTGAGTCCCACCTACCTGTAATTTCAGGAGCGCGGACACGTTCTCCGCCACACGAATCAACAGTGCTCTGATCGGGTTCGAAACGAGGTACGGTTTCCCTCGTCAATCATAGCTAACGAATTTTTGTGCAGGCGGGGGGGGGTGTTGGCGAGTGTAGCGAGCTACTGGAGAAATTGTGCAAGCGATACATGGGGCACTACTGTAGTGGCCATGACGCGGTGCTGTACCCTTGTTCGTGTCCCCGCTGATTCCAGTAACGTGAGTCAGACGACTCGAGGTACGTGCAGGGGGCGTGCCGTTTTGTGAACGAAAGCTGATTGTGTCCGCAGGACACGTTCAATACAGTGTTACAACAAAAAATGTGGTAACTGAGCGGGTTTACGAACAGTAAATGTACGAGCTGGACTACCCTGAATCTCGGAGTGTCAGGTTTGGCCCGAAGAGCTCGCCTTCCGAGGCTACCTCGCTTCCATACCGGCCTTGGCGCGATCAAACCTGTGCCGAACCACAACATCTTTGATCCCCGACTAGCGCGTGTCACTCGTTAGACTTGTGTAAGGCTTCATGGATACAGTTTAAGCATTCTGTAATCACCGCTGGTATTTAATGCCTTTCTCATCCTTTCTCAGTATGGTATTTGGCAAATACTTTTTCCAATCAATCCATTTAAAGCCGGCAGCCCAAATTGCACAACCTTTAAAAGGTTGACGCGAGGGGTTTTTGGTGGTCTGGGTTTTGGCGAAAGATTTCGAATTCGCTTTTTTCGGTGTCTTCGCCAAACCCAGCCCGCCCTGGTATTTCGCCCTGGGGGTTGGTTCAGTTCCCGAAGTCCCAAATTGCAGGCTGGCTTTTTTTCAAACCTTGCAAACACTAGTTCGTCATGTTTTAAAAGCTTGACCCGCGCGGCCCGCAATTTGGGCCGCGGGCTTTAAGCAGACTCTGACATGCTATCCATTCCAATCTCCCACTTACAGCAATGCATATGCAACCACTACTTGAAGTTGAGAGATCATTGAAGTGCCAACATAAAATTGGCACAACTGACCAACAAGCCCACTACATACAGAGCACATTATAACCCAGCCCGATAACTAACATTCTCTGCGTTTCCATCATCCACCCAAATCACTTCCTATCAAGCAGACCCAGCTCTACGATCGACGTGGCCGCCTCAATAAGCGCGACTCTCGACGACTGGTAGATGATGCCCATGTCGTTCTCGGCCTTGCTGCCGCTGTACCGGTGCACCACCCCCAGGTTGCGGCGCATGAAATCAATACCCACGGCGGGATTCACCATGGCTGCCAGCATCGCCATCCAGTCCGGCATGCCCATGGATGGCAGGCGGTAGTTGGGGTACTTGGATCGCAGCACATCTGGAGTGTGAGGGAGGTGAGGGGTTGGAGAGGGAGAAATGGGGGATAGGTGAAATGCGGGAGAGTGTTGAGGAATACATGTGTGTGCGATCCAGCTGGGCATGCACATGGATGGCACGCGGTAGTTGGGGTACTTGGATCGCATCACGTCTGGAGTGTGTGTGGCGGGGGAAGAGGGGGGGTGAAAAGGGATGGTTTGATAACCATGTGTGTGCGCCCCATTCAGGCATGCCATGCCATGGCTGGTGGGAGGTGGTTGGGGAAGTTGGAGCACAGCACGGTGGTGTGCGGGGAGGGGGGGAAGGGGGGAGGGTTTGGTGGGAGGGAAGGTGATACGAGTGGGACGCAGGGGGGAATGCTGAGAATATGGTAGTTGGGGAGTTGGAGCAAAGCATGTCTGGTGGGGAGGGAAGGGTGCTGGATAAGCACATAGCCAGCTGTAGGAAAGCGGTTACCTTGTAACTGTAAATTTCAATTTAGTGCGTTTATGAACGTACCGATCACCTGTAGCAGCGACATGGTGTCACTATTACACAGGATCTAGGGCCCCTTCACGCCCTCCTCCTGCTCTTTCTGTCATGCCAGTAGCCCCTTTCAAGCCCTCCTCTCTCAAGACGTACCAGCCATCTGTAGCAGCGACATGGTATCCCCGTTGCACAGGATGTAGCGCCCCTTCATGCCGTCCTTCTCCAGTGCCAGCACGTGAGCCAGTGCCACGTCAGCCACGTGCACCATGCCAAAGTGCAAGTTGGGGGCGAGGAAGAGCGTGCCGTCCAGCAGCTGCTTCACCGACTGTAGTGGGGGATGGTGAGGGGTGGTTAGGGGTTGAGGGGGCAGGGCTTCAGAACTCGTCTCCACAAAGTGCAGGTCGGGCGCCAGGAACAGCGTGCCGTCTAGGAGCTGCTTTACTGACTGTAGAGTGGGATGGTGAGGGGTGGTGAGGGGAATTGAGACTTGAAGGCAAAACAATCTCTTAACACTGCAGGTCAGGCGTGAGGAAGAGCAACCGACTGCAGTGAGGTGGTGAGGGGTGGTGAAAGGCTCCGGGAGAGGGATCTACAGCCGAAGGGGACTCGTGAAATTGCAGGTGAGGCGAGAGGAAGAGCAAGCCGTCTATGAGCGGATGGGCGATGGGGGATGGTCGGCGAGGTGTTGGGGGGTGGGTTGAGGGAACGGGAGCAGGGAAATGGGAGGAAAAAGAGGCCAAGGTGAACTCACGAGAGACAAGGAGAGATGTCACGGGAAGAGGAACGGGTGTCGGGGTGAAGGGGGCGGGAGAGAAAGTGTGGTTATGGTTGAAGTGGGAAATGAAAAGGCAAGTGAGGCGAGTGCACGCCCCAGTGGGATCCAGCGCCACACCCCCAGGGAATGCCACCCCACCCCAGTATACCCGGCCTGGGAAGCATATTTCTCCCAAGGGAATTCCATTCCAGTTTTAGAACGCACCTGTAGGCTGCCCTTCACGTGCTCCTCCCTTAGCGCTGGCCCCAGCACGAGACTGGGGCACAGCGTAACGAGATCGAATCTCCACTCCACGCCCTTTAACTCATCTGCCACCCGCCACGCGTACTTCTCCGCCAGCGTCTTCCCCATGCTGTACGGCGCGCGCAATGACAGCTGGCGGTTCCAGTCAGCCTCGGTGAAGACGTGGTCTGGGGGGAACATGTTGTCTGACACCGCTGCCACTGACGATGTCAGCACCACCTTCCTGGCAGTTGCATGGGGAGTGGGAAATAGCCAGTGGGCGGGGGGGGAAGAGGGGGGGGGGGGGGGGGGGAGGAGGCGTTTGGGGGGTTGGGAGTTGGATGGGAAACGGAGGAAGTAGAGGCGAAATGACTGGTTGTTCCAGTCAGCCTCCGTGAAGACGTGGTCTGATGGGAACATGCGGTCTGATACCGCTTCCACTGACGATGTCCGCACCACCTTCCTGTGAGTGAGATAGGCAGGGGGGTTACGGGGGGAGAGGGGAGAGGGGCAAGAGGAGGCAAAACTCTAATTAAATTTTCTGTGAGCACATAACCTGATGAGGACATGCGGCCAAAGCCTGCTGGCAGTGATGACTTGGACACCAACTTCCGAGTGGTGCTCACACAATCAGGGAATGCGTGGGGCAGTGGGGGTTTGCGGGGAGAGGGGGGAGAGGAGTTGGGGAGGCGAGGGGGGGTATGGCAGCTCGAGCATTTCAAATTGGCCTCTTAAGACCATGAGGTGTGGTGCGGTGACTGGTGGTGACTGGTGGAGGAACCAAGGCGGAGGGGCATTGGCTCCTCTCTGTTGCTGCTTCTGTGGAAGCAGCAGCAGCACGGGAGGGCAGCTGGCATGAGGAGACGCATGGGACGAGAACGATCCCATGGCGCCTCAAAAAGCAGTCAGCTTGCAGGGAATTTGGGGACGATTGGACGTGGGGGGTTGAGGAAGGGCGGGGAGAGGGGGCAAGTGGGAGTGCGATGGGGATTGATTGAAGAGGATAAAACAAAGAGGGAGACAGGGCAATGTGAGGGTTAAACTGGCAAACGGGTGCTACCAGAATCGCATGAGTGCCGCATTGCTTTACTAGCGCCACGCCACTGCCCTCCCTCTGCCCCACCCCTCCCACTGGCCCACCCCTTGTGCTGCCCCCTCCTGGGGCTCACTTGGCCCATTGGTGCTTCATGATCGACACAAACAGGTTCCATGTGCCGTCCACAGCCCTCCACCTGCCCAACCCACCCTCAACCCCACCCCCCTCCTCCGCCACAGTCCTCCCTCCACCCCACCGCTCCCTCCCCGCCCCCCCCTCAACTCACTTGGCGCATTGGTGCTTCAGGATGGACCCGAACACGTTCCGCGTGCCGTCCAGTGCCGCCGCCACGATGGTCTGAGGGTCGCTCTTACTGGTCGTCATCAGCGCTGCCACGTGGCACACCAGCTCGCACCCCTCCACCGCCTCGTCGAAGCTCCCAGGGGCTGTTAGATCCGCCGCGAACAGCTGGATTGTGCCTGGCGTGCCGTCCGCCTGTGGTTTGCGGGAGAAAAACAAAAGAAGAAAGAACGAAAAAAAAAAGGTGCGTTTTAAGGAGAATGATTGATTCTCGAAAGCAAAGACATCCGGGGTGTCACGTGGCACAGAAGCTCGCACCCCTCCACTGCTTCGTCGAAGCTTCCAAGGGTTGCTGGGTCTGCTGCGAGGGGCCGAATCGTACCTGGAGTGCTCTCAGCCTACCACGTGAATGACATCCAATCTCAGCCGTCCATCAGCCATGCTTACCCGCAATCCCACCCTTTCTTCCCTTCTCACCCTCTCCTTCACCCTCCCTCCCAGCCATTCCCCATAACTCCCAACATCCCCCGACATTCCCAATTCGTCTCCACGAATGCTCATGGAACGAACCGCCAGGTAACAAAAATGGAGAAAAAACGCAACAATCTGTAATGCCGGTGTCCAGGACGAGGGGCGCCTATGTATCGTCGTTCCGAAAAGGGCTGCAGGTACTGTATAACAACGAAGCGGGAATTCTTGCAGTGAGTCCGTCGATCGCGCTTGCACATCGAATTCAAGACCAATGCAAACGTCAGCTTTTAACAACAGCCTTTGGTTGCCGTTAATCGAAAAAAGAAACGGTTCCAGGCGTTCGACATTCGGAAACAACATGTTTTGGATTTGTCGAGAGCCTTACGAGGCCGCGCAGCCAGTTGGTCCGCGGGTCGTCGAGGTCCCTGACGGTGCCGCGCACGTGGTAGCCACGCTCCAGCAGCATCTTCACCACGTAGCTGCCGATGAACCCTGGCGCGGCGAGGAGGAAATGGAAGGGAAGACGAGACGAGTAGGTAGAAGGGCACTAAGGGACATTGAACAAGAGTAAAACGATTGAACACACGTACGATGCCAATGACTGGACAAACGAAGGATGCTGTATAGAGAAGCACCGGGAATCTCGGCAAAAAGAAACGCGAATATTGAAGTTCTACGAGAAATTGAGAGCGGAAATTACCCGACGCTCCCGTGACGCAGACTTTCTTCCCCTGCCCTGGTAGCTCGTCTCCCCCCATCTCTGACGACGGTTACGCTCGAATTGCACTGGGTTAATCTTTGGTGACGAGCTACTGCCTCCACAGATAGAGCGTTTTAGGCTATGTTGTATGCAAGAATCTGGAATGCGGTGCGCGGCGAGACGACGAATTCGGTAACCCGTGAGTTAGCACGTGAATAAGTCGTGGCGTAACACTAACGTACCGTAATCTAGGGTCGCGACAGCTGTGAAAGAAAGAAGATGCGCGCTGAGCGAGAATGGGGTGAAATAAAAGAAGCACCTTGGGGGCAAGCTTTCAATCACTTGTTCAGACGATGGGGAGATTCGAGAAAACGCAGAAATGGGATGAAAGGGAGGTGGAGGGGAGGAAACGAGGGGGCCAAAGGAATTGATGGCTGGAAATGCAGCAGGCCGAGATTTCGGGAAGATATCTCCAGTCTGTACGCTTCATAGGAGACGAGCATTCAACTGTATAATTAACTTGACCTGCAAAACAGATTGTCCAACTGCAGGACAAGTCTTCAATCTCTTATACCGTAACACTTGCTCTCTCAAATCACGCACAAAAGTTATAGCTAGGCAATTAACCACAAGCATCACAATGCCAAGTGATGTACACCTTATTTGCACTTCCGTAGAGTTTTTTTTTTTTTTTTTTTTTTTTTTTTTTTTTTTTTTTTTTTTTTTTTTTTTCCGCACCACAGTTTTCAAGCCTTCATAGGAGCAGGACCCTCAGAGCCCTCCTCCTGTACCACCCTCCCCTCCTTCCCCTTCCCCCGGCTTCTCCTCCTCCACGTCCTCCACCTACACCTCCTCCACCACCTCTACTTCCTCCTTCGCTACCCCTCCCTTCCCACTCTCCTCATTCTCCATCCTATCTATATGCTCCTGCACCAACGCATCATTCAAAACGCTGAACGCCTGGCCCTCCCCCAGAATAAAGACACTGCAGTTGGCTCCACTCAGCCCCCCCTCCTGCAGCGACTCCTTTATGGCAAGCAGTGCGTGTTACACCAACTCGTCCAGCGAATACGCCCCGGATGACTCATTCTTGCGCTCCAGGTACGTCTTGGCGGCCTGCGAACGCGCCCCGATCGCCATGGCATGGAATTCCCAGAAGTTGCCCGACGTGCAGGTTTGAAAAATGTCCGGGCCGGTCTGGTCGAAGCCACCAGCAGCCCCACGCCGTACGGGCGGCGCCACAAGCGCTGCGTGTACACATGAGATTTGTCTGCTACCATGGGGACAAGGCGGCCCACCGGGAGAGGCGTCTCGAAGACAAACCTGTGACGGGATGGACAAGGAGGGGGTGTAGTGGATAGCAAGCAGATTCACATGGGAATAGAGAGTGAGGGAAAAAAAGGTAGGAGGGAGAGACGGGTGGCGGGAGAAGGGGGGAAAAGCGAATGGGGAGAGAGAGAACAGGTGTTACCACTGATATAGGAAGTGAAGCCCGGCAGCGAAAGGGCGTATGGAACAGGCCTGGGGGGAGATGGAGAGGGAAGATGAACATCAAAAGACGACAGGCAAACATGCGCTAGTGAGAAAGGGGTTGGTTTGTAAGTAGAGGGATGGCAACAGTCTGAAGAAAAGGTGTCTGAAGGGCGATGAGAGGAAGGTGAGGCGCAGCCCTATGAGACACGCACCCACAGCACATTACTCCGCTCATGCCCTGTTTATTTCCTTGTGCAACAGGCACTCACCACCCTCACTGCACACACCAGCTACATGTGGGAGATCTTGCACTGGCGTGGACGGTGTGTGGAGCACTCACTCGTGCGTCAAGGATTCAAGTGCGGGGCACTCACGTGTGAGACAAATGTTCAGACCGCATGAAGCGGCAGAGCACGCGGCAGTCAGCGTTGAGCCCAGCGATGGCGATGCCCATCTGGTCGTCCACACGGGATATCTTGTGCTGATATGACGCCAGGGGGGACGCCGCTCGCTTGAGCGTGGCCAGCACGGCGTGTGTGGTCCTGCGCAGGCCCACTGCTGCAATGCCTTGCTTCACCGCCTCCATGGCGTCCTCCGCCTGGTGTGGAGGAGGGGGGCAGAGAGGAGGGGGAGGGGGGGGGGGTGTTGGAGGGGAGAGGGCATGAGGGAGGATAGCAGCGAGGCACACATGTCTCGCCTGTGCCATGCTGCCCTGCTTCACCGCCTGCATGGCGTACTCCACGTGGTGGGGAGGTGAGGAGGGAGGAGGGCATGAGCGAGGAGGGCATGAAGGAGGAGGTTAGCAGAGAGGCACACATGTGCGCGCTGCACTGCCCTTTTTCACTGCCTCTATCGCATACCCCACCTGGTGGGCATGCAGGGGAGAGGAGGGGGCGAAAGAGGGCATGAGTTGAGGAGGGAGGAGCGAATGAGGAAGGATAATAGTGAGTCGCAGGCGTCTTGCCTATGCTGCACTGCCCTGCTTCACTGCCTGCATGGCGTACTCCACCTAATGGGTGGGGGACGGAGAGGGGAAGGAGAGCATGAGGAGGGAGGAGGGCTTCAAGAAGGAGGAGGTTAGCAGCGGCACACCACGTGTCTTGCGTGTGCGTCACCGCCCGTATGGCGTACTGCACCCTGTGGGCATGAAGGAAAGAGGAGTGGGGGGAAGATGGCATGGGTAGGGAGGAGCGCATGAGGGAGGTTAGCAGTGAGGCGCAAGCGTCTTGCGTGTGCGTCACTGCCCCCAACACTTGATGGGTGAGGGGGGGTAGTGAAAAGAGGGGGAGTGGCGAAACGGGGAGAAAGGATGGCGAGCATGCATGATGTGGTGTGCAAAGGGACAGAGAGACCAATGCATGGAATGCATGGAGTACCCGGCATGCACGGAATGCTGGCACGAGAGGAAGGCGGGCAGGGCGACAGGGGTTGCTGGGAAGAGGGGGGAGAGGGGGGGGAGGAGGAATGAGGTGGGGATTGGGCGAGCTAAGAATGAGGGAAGAGGCGAGGGAGTTGGCAAGCAAAAAGGGGAGAAAATTGGGGTGGTGGTGAGGAGGAAGGGAGGAGAGGGGTAACCGGGCGCGGTTGATTAGGAGAAGCGACAGGGTGGGGCAGGGCGAGGCGAGGTGGGGAAACAAGAGTGGAAGGGTAGCACGCACAGTGGCTTCTGTGGGTGCTCGTTGCCACGCGGTCAGGCGGCCATGGGGAGGGAGACATGGGGAAGGGGAAGGAGAAAAGGGGGGGAAGGGGGGCCGGAGGGAGGGAGAAAGGAGGGGAGGGGACGAGACCGAAGTTGAGGTGAGGGGAGGGGAGGGAGGAAAAAGAAGGGGAGGGCAAGGGACGGGAGGGGAAGGGAGGGCGAGGTGGGGATAGTGTTGTGAGGGCAGCACGCATGATGCTCGCTTGGCATGAAGGGAAAACGAAGGTCTGGGCGAGGGAGAGCAGAAGCAAGGGTTTCATGAGTTCCAAAATCAATCGCGGGGTTCGAACGCAGAATCTTTGTAGGGACGGACTACCGTCGCACAGCCATCGCACTGCCGTTGAAAAACCGTCGCACAGCCGTCTCAGCACGAAGGAAGTCAACAGCGGCAGCAGAAGCGTAGGAGGGGGCAAGGGGGGAGGGGGAACACCTTTCAAAGAAAGGAGGGCGAGGAGTGCCACGAGCAGCACCTACAGCGACTATGCTAGCAAGGAGGTGCTTCTCGAGCAGGTCGACAGTGAGGTCCGTGGGGTCCATGGCTGTGAGGATCTAAGATCGAGCTCAGAAAAGAGAATGTGAATTGAATGATTCACCTGGGTACAAGGCGAGGCTATATATAGGCTCGACACAAAGGCAGTAACCCGGGTGTTACTAGAAGGTTCCGCGGGTCGCGAAGCGTCCCGAACGGGTCATTCCCGAATTCGGTAGAAGGCAATTCGGTGGCAACCCCTAGAATTCGGTGCACTCAACCTAGTTCGGTGCCTATAACTATAATAATATAGTAAAGGCAACGAACCTAGGAAATCAAGCAAAAGCAAGCAAAGCAAAATTAAGCTAAGCTAGATAATGCGTAATAAAGTCCAGGCAAGCTAGCAAAGCCAGCATAAGCCGTCGTACTCTCACAATGGCAAGAAAGAGGTCCCTGACTGCGCTAAGAGAGACAGGGAGGCGGGTGACGATGAAGTAGAGAGCGATGTACATGGGGGGGGGTATTCTTGTCTAGAAACTTGGTGGGAAGCACGGCGCGGTAGCGAGTGTCACTAGTGCGAAGGTGGGTGACTAGGTCGTCGACCGTGGCAAAGGCGGACAGCTCGGGAAAAAGGTAGGGCAGTATAAGGCGGCCGAGCGCAGCAGTGGCAGGGGAGGAGTAACGAGTGCCTACAGCGTCGTACAGGGCTTTAGCAGTCTTGTGCTGGCCAAAGTGAGCGCGTTCGGCTAACGGTAGGTGGTTGCGAACGGCTAGGCGTGCAGCACCGTCACGGGTAAGCCACTGTGAGCGAGTCGCACTGTCGGCTGTGTCGGGAGGGGCGAGAGAGGCTCCAGACGTGTGGTCAAACAACGAAACGCCGTCTCTATAATCGCTCAGTAGGAACAGCTGTAAGTCATCGAGCCACATAGCAAACTGGATCGGACGGCCCTCAGGATCGAATGTGAGGACGCTGAGAGTAGCCATAGCGAGCAGAGCAGGGTGGCGCGCGAGCAGCAGGGCAGCGCGCAAGCAAGGACGGCGCGACGGGCAGGGCGGCGCGTAAGCGCTAGGGAAGCGCACAGGGCAGAGCGGGGCGGCGCACTGCTAGGGCAGGGCGGCGGAACTGGCAGGGCAGGGCGGCGGCCAGCAGGGCGGCGCGCGGGCAGGGCAGGGCAGGGCGGCGGCCAGCAGGGCGGCACGGGGGCAGGGAGGGCAGGGCGGCGGCCAGCAAGGCGGCACGCGGGCAGGGCAGGGCAGGGCGGCGGCCAGCAGGGCAGCGCGCGGGCAGGTCAGGGCGGCGCGGTGGCCAGCAGGGCGGCGCACGGGTAGGGCAGGGTAGCACGCGGCCAGCAGGGCGGTGGGCGGGCAGGGCAGGGCGTGCGCGGGCGGCGCGACGCAGGGCAGAGCGTGCACGGGAGGCGCGACGCTGGGCAGGGCGGGGCGTGCGCAGGCAGCGCGACGCAGGGCAAAGTGTGCGCGGGGCGGCGCGACGCTGGGCAGGGCCAGGCGCGCGCGGGCAGCGTGACGCAGAGCAGGGCGTGCGCGGGGCGGCGCGACGCGGGGCAGGGCCAGGCGCACGCGGACGGCGTGACGCAGGGCAGGGCGTGCGCGGGGTGGCGCGACGCGGGGCAGGGCGCACGCGGGGCAGGGTAGGGCGACGCGATGCTAGCAGGGCGGCGTGACGGGCAGGGCAGAGCAGCGCGCCGCCAGCAGGGAGGCGCGCGGGCAGGGCAGGGCAGCGCAAGGCCAGCAGGGCAGCACGACGGGTGGGGTAGCGCGACAGGCAGGGTAGGGCGCTACGGGCAGCGAGCTATACGGTGGACCCTAAAAAAATGGTCATGGGACAGGACCTGCTCTAATACCATGTTAGAAGACTAAGCGAGAATGATTGCATTGAACAGAAAGTAGGTACAAGTACTAACCCTAATTGGGTTGTACCCCACATGGGCTACCCCACTACAGCCTACACACACAACATAATAGTTTGACAATACTGTCGAAGTGCAGATCGAGGCGATTTGCAAGTAGAATGCAGGCCCAGAAAGCCGACAGACTGGTAGTCACGCTTTAGGAAGCGCGACCAAAAGGTGAGGGGATCGAGCGAACTGTTGGAGTAAGCGGGAATTAACTTAGCATTCCCGAAGGTGCAGCTGTATCGTACCCGTCACTACCGAAGCAACAACTGCAACAACATTGGACCAGTCCATAAAAGGGCAGGAAGGTCAACAGTCGCAAGTCAACTGTCGCGACAGTTGACCATCTGGACTGAACGGTTATACGCGAAGAATGGCAACAGGCGTAACTATCTGTACAGTTACATGCAGCAACCCGGTAGCGAGAGAAGAGCAAAAGTCAGGGTTACTGTAGAAATGCCTGTATTACTGGAATGTACCTTTTAGAGTACTGGCTAGCTAAATCTATATATTGTGTGTGATTTTCTTCTTTAATCAATCTTGTCATCTACATTCACTATGCACAAGGTTCCTACCACAACCAAGACTTCCGCTACACTACTCTGAGCAGACCTATCATATCTACGATCCTTATCACAACATGGTATGAGAGCTGGTTTGGATTATAGGAGCTGCTAAGACATCCATCTGCAAAAACGATTTTCATTATCATAAATATCCTACATTTGAGGCTAGCACTATACAAGGTGCAGACTGTGGAGAAACTGGAGGAAACCCAGTCCATCCAACTTCCATTGTCACCTCAGGAGTGACATCAATGGATCCAGCTTTCACTGAGTAGCTGATTACCCGCATCAACGCCTTGGAGAGCCATCACCAGCCGATGGGCATCGACGGCTCCAGCTACACCCGCGGACCTCTCGATCCACAAGATCCCACTTCGAGCGTTCATTTACCTTCCACAATTGTGGAGCTCAAGGACCTGCACAAGCACAACAACAAGCACATTACGAAGCAATGGCGTCAATTCAGAGCAAATTCCTCTCAACTTCCAAGCTCAAGACATCAACGTTCTTCGGCGGGAAGGATTTTTATACATAGAGCTTCGGATTCGAGCTCCTAGCTCAAAGCGCGCAGATTTAGATGTATTACGACGCGTCCTTACCCTCTCCGACCAATGGCTCACCTTAGGCAAAAACGCAGTACTACAACGAGTCGCTCCCTGCCTACACGGTCTTGATCCAGAATCTAGCGCTTGCGGATCAGCTCAGTATTCGCTCATTCAAGAATGAGTGGGCGCCCACGCAACAATCCTAGGAACACCTGTGCACATGCCACATGCCAACCGACTCAGTAATGCTCAGTCGCCTGTTAAACCAGTTGAACAACGTCAGGATGTTCCTTGGAGAAAAGGCAGAGGCATACATCAATTGCTGCAGAAATCTGTCGCATAAGATACGAAGTGGGAATTCATATCTTGTGTGACGGTTAGGTGAAGTGCAACAAGTGAGGTGTACTCGTTAGCAGGACCGGGTTTATAATGCGAAGATGTGAAGAGTTGGGATCCAGCTGGCAAAGCAGTGGGCGGGATAGGCCGAGAGCAAGACAAGCGGGGACATCCAACCATGCAGACGGACCGCTGGTACAGTGATGGGTGGAGGTGACGAGGGTTTGCAGCAGCTTGGGTGGGAGCATAGCCGAGGTGGCCGGGAAGCCCTATTGACACGACCAGGACGGCTGTAATTTCGTTGTACATATGGTGGGCTGAGGTGTACGCGCAAGATTGATTGCATGTCGAATGAATGGTGTTTTTCTGTGAATGTGTGCAGGAACAGGGTCACGACCAAGCGTGGTTGCAGGAGTAGGCACAAGCTAGTCTAGTCACATCTTGTACATAGCCTACTAGCTTCATCAGCTACCCTGCTTCTTTGTTTGTTTTCTCGCTATACTTGAGTGGTGTGTGCAATTCTTGTAAGCATTTGCTAGCCAGCAGAGAAACCTGTCGATGGGTTAGGAAGCTTTTTCGACAAACAAAGAAGAGTGGCGCGAGTATATGCCGCTGAGATCCGGGTGAACGTACTAGCCAGAAAGTCTGGGGGGTAACGCGACGTCGGACTGCACGAGGGCGCAGACCTGGTGACCCGCGGAGCGGCGGGGACAGGGAGAGCATCAGTGGGGACTGGCATGGAGGACAGAGAGGTCTATCGCATCCCGTCCAGGCGACGGAGTCAAGGAGACTTACTCGCTAGCGGGAGAGAGGATGCCACACGGCTCGTGGGGGGAGCGAAAAGCGGACGGCTTC